AAGGGGTCGTAAGTCCCCCAGAAATATTGAAAACCCTACTGAAAAGACTCCTCAAGTACTCGAAACCACTGGAAATGAAGAAGTCATCGACGAAAGTGGTTCTCTATATTCTAAAATGTGTAAGTTTTAAAGTTTCTGGTGGCTTATACAATAACCTGTAACACTATACAAAATACTTTTATTTTCGTTTCTTTCCCTTAACTTTTTTTTTTTTTTTTTTTTTTTCACATGGACCTTTTTTATGAAAATTTTCTAATATATCAAACTTTATACTTTAGTCGCAGACCGTGGTCCTAATAAACGTAAAGTAAAAATGAGGGCCATAGCAGAAGATCTTTTTGACGAAGCAGACCCTGGCGACTCCGATTATAAATTTGTCAACGAAGACAGCAGTTGCCAAGACGACATTAATACCGATACTGACGACACTGTTGTCAGTGATAAACATTTTGGTCTCACTGTTAATGAGCCTGCTGAAATTTCCGACGCTGACTTTGTCGACATAAATAATGAGCCTACGCCTGAAGAAAATAAAGAGGAAAAGGTCAGAGAATTTTTGAAAAAATGGGTATGTATGACGATATTCTATGTGTATATATACATATGTATATCGGTTTTAATTAGCCTCTCTACTATTAAATATAATATTTGACAGCTCTGACCTATCATTATTACTTCTTAGAAACTCGACGATCCAGGTGTTTGTTGCATATGTCTTGAAAATTCAACAACTGAAGATAACATGCTAGTATATTGCGATGGTGATGATTGTGAAGTTGTTTGTCATCAAGGTAAATTAGGAAATTTTTATTTCATTTACGCTTATTTTTTCAAACTAATGATTCATGGTTATTTGTACAATTAAGAATGTTATGGAATCGTGCATTTACCTGCTACTGATGAGCCTTGGTACTGCGATAAATGTTTAGCAAAACCTAGTGAAACTGTGGTATGCGCAATATTTAATCGTTTTTCATGAAAAATTATTATTAATACATGTGTATATAGCATATATTTCAAATTTTCATCTGTAATAATGATTTAACTACGAACAGACATGCGCGCTTTGTCCTAAACAAAGTGGTGCATTTCGTAGAATGAAGGAAGGAGATAAAGCTGGTACCTGGGTTCATCTCGTGTGTGCTCTCTGGATGCCTGGAATGTGGATTGGGAAAACTGCAGAAATGAGCGAGATTACAATAGAAATAATTGATCCCAAAAATTGGAATAAGGTGATTATACATATTATTCAATTCAAAGCGTGTTCTTTCAATAATATAATTATAAATGGTTGGCATTTTTTTTTTATTAGCCATGTTGCGTGTGTGGGCCAGGTGATTCGCAAGAAGGCGCTACAGTTCATTGTGACGCAGGAGAATGTAAGTCATGGCTTCATGTTACATGTGCGCAATCATTAAATCTTTTGGAGTGTGTTGAAGAAGATCCAGAAATTTCAGATCCTTATTTTGTGGTATATATTAACTTTTTTTATGGTCATAAATGTTGTATTTTACTATAATATCTTTATATATGTATAACTGATTATCATTAATTTCAATAGTATTGTCCTCAGCATGGCTCTCACGGACCACCAAGGCTTAATGATTGGGAAAGATGGTACCGGAAACGTGATAAATTCCTTGAACAAGTTCAAAAGGAAGAAAGTCAGGCAAGATTAAAACGTATTAAATCATATTCTGATAGTGGCACCGGTCTTCTCGAAATATTTGAAGACAGGTACGCCAAATATCGTAGTCGAAGAGAACAACGTATAGCTAGATGCCGAAGAAAAATAGCTCAAATGAATTCTCAAATTCAAGGACTTGGGGAACAAAAAGATAAATATGAAAATCAGACTAAAGACTATACGAATAAGATAGCAAATTTAAAACAGGAAAATGCTGCTATTGAAAAATATTTAGAACAAGTAAACGAAAGTTTACTTATTTTGTCAAAATCAATTACGAATCTTCCGAATATTCTGACACTTAATACTGCTCAATCTAGTTCAAAAGTTTGTCCTTCAGTTATTGATAATCCAGCCGTCAACTCTATATTGGAATTTCTTGAAACAACGCCTGAAATACAATGGACTAATCAGTCAAAAGATATTGCTCAAAAAATTCAAATTAATAAACTTGATACTAGTTGTGTAACATCTTTGGGCATTAAATCAATACAACAAATTGTATCACAGAGAGAAAAAGAGCAAAAATTGAAAAAGAATAAGAAAGGAAAAAGACGAAGTACTAATAGTAGAAATTCCACATCCGGATCATCTAAAAAGAAAGATAAAGAATCTGCTGATGCTCAAGCAGACAATACTGCTACTAGTAGCACGCAAGATGTTCCTAGTTCTACAATAAAGAAAAAACAAAGGGGACGTCCTGCTAAGAACAAAGTCCATGACTCTAAAAGAACAGATAGAAATTTTAACAATATTCCGGATAATACGGATTCAATAAATGATAGCTCAACGAATAATGCCATTGGTTTTGTTGGCAGCAGTGATTCAATGCAAGGTGTTCAAGATACCAGTTTGATCGATATAATCGATGTAGTTGGAGATAGACAAACAAATGGTGATATTACTCTTAAAAGTGAAAATATTACTGGCAATATTTTTACTGGTTCTACTTCGAACATTTATACGAATAGCTTAGACGTTGGAAAAATTTCATTTAATAGTAATAAAATTACAAGCATTGCCACTCTCCTAAACCCAGTAGAAAGTATTATGTCTACTGAGAATAGCGGCAGTTTTAATATAGTTGAGCGCAACAATCAGAACATTATATTTGGTACAAATAATCTTGTTAACAGATTAGTTAAATCTGCAGATGGCTTTACCACCAATAATTCAAATACGATCAATGATCTGTTAAATTCTAATAGGATTGGAAATATTGGTGGACCCTCATCAATAAATGGAAGTTATATTAACTCTAATGCAATGTTTGCTAACAGTCAACTTGGTATTAATTCAATATCACGAAATGGCAATCTTTCTAATTCTATCATAATAATTTTCTAAATATATGCATCGAAAAGTAAATAAACAATGAACAAAAAATTGTTAAAAAGAAAGCCAGCGGGTTGGCCGTCGGAGATTGAATACTTGACTAATAATGTTTATGAACCAGTTTCTTTGAAACCAGCACCAAACAGTTTGCCGTTGCCAAAAGAACACCCAAGTCATCCTTTCACATCCTCACCTTTACCTCCGGTCGCGTCCGATCCAGAAAAGCCTAATTCTTCGGTTAAAATCAAGTCGTTAAAAGAACGAAAAGACCACCCAGCTTTTCCAGGCTATGGACTGTTTGCGACGAAAGAGCTCAGGGAGCTTGGTCTTATTATTAGTTACACTGGTATAGTCACGACAAGAGCAGTTGGAGGTGAGGAACGTAGTGATTATGTTTTAGGATTCGGCAGTCAACTATGTGTTGACAGTTGGAAAAAAGGTATAGTAGGTCGGGGGTATATAAAAAATTCGGTGGCTTTGATCACAAATCATGTGATTTTAACATTATTAGAAAATTTTGATATGCGGACTTTAATGATACGCCTTTTTTAAGTTTATCATTACGTATATTATAGTTATAAATGATGAAAATTTCGCGCATTTAATTTATTTTTATTTATGTTCTTTAGGAAGCGAAGCAAGATTTATCAATGATTATCGCGGAATCCTTTCGAAACCAAATGCAACATTCCACGAATACATTGATTCACAAAGTGGAGAGATCAAAATGGGAGTTTGGGTCATGCCAGGGGTGGGAAAAATTAAAAAAGGTGATGAAATTGTAGTAAGCTACGGAAAAAGCTTCTGGAAAGAAAGAGGTTTTTTAAAGGAATGAATATTATTTACTGTTTAAGTCAAATATAAATTTATCACATATTTAATTTATACCGAAAAAAAATAATTTAAATTCACGATCATTATTAATCACTATTAGAAGAGATTTTGTGGTTTTTAAATCACCATTTGTCAGAATCATCACTTCCCATCGCATGTAAGATATCGCTAATGCCTGAATGCAAAATGCATTGGTTTTCCCAAATGAGATTCTTTTACGCGCTTGCTAGTATAAAATCATCAAAATGAATGTTTGGCACATTTAATTGTCAGTTTTCTAAGAAATATCATTGCGTCCGAGCGCACAAAAAGTGTCTATTTAGCAAGGTCTTTGAAATTCATTAATAGTTCTTGCTCAACATGAATAATTGTCAATACCGAGAATCATTGTTGCATATTTTGATTGTCCTGAGCCTTTTGACCTTGTTCCACCTCGTAAAACTTTTATTTAACTCTATCAACCTAATATGATTACTATATCGATATACAGTACGTAAACTTAAATAGTTTTATATTAACAGCCCAAAGTAGTTTATCTAATATTTGAACTATTGGCTCAAAATTGTCTTGCTCTTGCCCCAATCGTCCCGTGTACAAGAATCATATAATACAATATATTGTAAATGCATTCTTCTGGGACGAGATATGGCGCATTATGTACAAAAGGAGATTGATTGAGAACTATCAGATCACGGGTCAAAAGAATATAACATTCTGATATTTGGATGATAAAAAGTACCGAATTCGCAAGAGAATATGGCAAATTCTTAATGAAACAAATCAAATTAACCTATCAAAATAAAAAAAAGATGGTTTTTTATAAATATTATGGAAAATTTACCATTTATCTTTGTGAAGAAAATTTATTTTCAATATGTCAATCACGAGACTTGCTGACAATCAACATTTAGATATTTAGCAGCATACTTTATAAAGGCTTTACCCGGGTAAAAATTTTGTTGCATTAAGGATGTTGAGATGCGCTTTCTGGGGTCATTTTCATACTAGAAAATTTACTTCCGTTCATTGCCGAATAAAGAAATTGTAAAATATAAATTCTACAAGAATTAATTTATTTATTTATTTATTTATTTTTTTGATGAATAAACATCCTATAATCTTTTCAATAGACAGAACGTGACCTGAAAATTTAGGCATCGGATAATACAGCTCTGTTACTAATTATTGTCGACGAACGAAAGTTTTCATAAAGTTCGCCAAAATATCCTTAATCCAGGGTTGGCAATGGATATACTTCATTGAAAAAATTGCTAGCCAATGGAGCTAATGGAGTTAGTTATTAATTATTAACAAATACTATATTATAAGCTAGTTGGTCTCCATTGGCTCCATTCGCAAATTATTCTCAATGGAGCAATGGAATGATGTCAATGGAGTTGTTCTCCATTCACCCCAATTGCCAACCCTGGTATAAGCGTATTTTTACGTTCGTAAATATTATTACCTATAATGTGAGATAACATATGAGATCGTGATTAAAGTATTTTGCGCGTATCATTCAGAACAGGAGTTGCGTAATGATGCGTTGACTGGCCAATCAAAATGTGAATTCTATTAACAGGATTAGTACGGCGAAACAAAAAAAGAAACTAAAACTGATGTATATCAATAAAAATGCCAGTTATTCAAAAAAATTAAAATAACAAAGGGAAATACTTCTGAGTTCCTAATCTGGCACAAAAGAGAGGTTTCTTTCTGATTTGCCATTAAACACGTTAAACAAATTTTAATTTCTTATAAATAACTTTACTTTGTATTTTTTTTTTAGGAACTCATTTTATTTTTCCTTCCCAAAATATGAAAAAAAAATACTTAAGCTGATTTTTCTGTTTATATTAATAAAAAACAATTATGTAATTTTCCTTTTGGTTCGTCTTTTTTTATTTTTTATGACGATATTTTATTTGCGTTCCAAAACAAAATGTGAAGTAACTCACATTTTGTTTCGAATTTACTTAGTTTAATTTTTTTTTAATTTTATATTCCTACTTTGAAACAAAATAGTAGAAGGAACCTACATTCGTTTCCACATATATATATCAGATATATATATATTAGTACTACGTACTTTTCTTTTTTTTTCTCTCACAAGGTATACGTTCGATTATAAAAAAAATTTTTTATACAGTAAGTTCGGTCATGTCTACTTCGCGTCTCATAAAGAGCCTAGTGTTTTTTATTATAAAATAATGTTGAATAAAAAGATAGAGAACATTATTCCTTCCCCGAGTTCGGTTCTCAATTGAAACGAAAACGAGTACGTAGGATTTCTTTTAGTTCGTTCTTTATATAGTATTTTACTTTCGTTTCCGAAATAAAAATAGTGAAAGGAACTCACATTTTGTTTTGAATTTAGTTTGGTTTTTTTTTTTTTTTAATTTTATATTTCTACTTCGAAGCGAAATGGTAGAAGGAACCTATATTTCGATTCCACCTATATATCAGATAAATATAGTATTACGTACTTACTTTTCTTTATTCGATTATGCTTGGAAAGGATTAATTCCAACTCTTTATGAAACTTGTATGGTCACGCCATCAAAAATGTAGGTCATTCCTAAATTTTTATTGGCTTTTGATTACGTTACTTGATTTTTATTGGCTCAAAATTTATATTACAAAAAAAAAATTTTATATAGTCTGAAATTTATAATATTGTCCAACTTTTTAACCTTTAATAACCTAATAAAAGTAAATTAAAATCAAAAAACTAAACTGTAAACCTGAAAGAGAATCATTTAATTTATCATCTTTACAGTTTATATTTTGAATATTGTTTAAATTGAAAGATCAGATGTCTTTAGAAATTTATATATAGGTTTGATGACTTTAGGTGTCGTGAACCATACTCATTTTCTCTGAATAAATGATTGTGGAATATTCCCCATGGTGTTTGCTATTTACTTAGTTTGTAAACAAGGAAAAGGGATATTCGGATATGTATATTTCTATATTTAAGATGAATTTTAACGAAAGGACTTAATCTAAAAAAATATTTCATAATCGTATATATTACAGGACGAGTTACTAGTGTTCCGATCAAAGATGCACCTCGCGAGAGATAAACATAGCGTATATTCACAACCTCATGCAAGTTTACATTGCGCGATTTCATGTGAGTCATATATCACGCGAGATACGAGGACATATCGCGCAGCTTGCGCAAAGTCGCAAGTAAGATAAAATTGTCATGTCACGCGAGGTACATCTCTAGTTCAAATCCTAAATCAGACTACCTGATTGATCCTTAAATCCAGATTTCCAAATCGTAGATTTTTACTCGGATTGGTCAAAGAACTTAAATAACTAAATATGTGCTCAAAGCTAGCTTTATATATAATCTGACACGGATTCGATCCGGATGGCCTGTTAGAAATAGGATCGGGACCCTATTTTATGATATTTGATTCATATATGTCGGTTCTTTTCAGTAGTTTTAAAGGTAAATACGTTAATCAGACATGAGTGGTGTTGTCCATAAATTAGAAAATACCTAGTAAAATTTAATCAATCATAATATTACCGTTACTAATTGTATGATCCGAAAGTGATCCGAAATGCTTTCAACGTTCGAAACTATTAGGTTCTTCCAAAACCATGAGTATAAATAACATTTTACTATTTGAGACTAGATGTGCCTCTTTAGATTTATTATATCATTTATAGCGATAGTATAAATGTTAATTATAAGTTTTAACAAATTTCAACTAATAATATAAATTAGGAATATAATTTATTCCAAATTATATAGTATCATATATATCTACAAAATAATAAATCTTAATAAAAATGTGATCTAGCAGACAATTACTAAAAAGAAATAGTAGGTACTTGTTTGCCATCAACTAAACGGTTCTGTTCACTTCATCGATGCTCATTTATAAACCTACAATCAATTCACCGACATGTTTGTTTCACAGACAACTAATTCCTAGAAAAGCTCATTTCGTAGACAACTTATTTCACAGAAGCCCATTTCACCAACATTATTATTATTAGAATTAGGGCTAGGGTTAGAGAAAATAAACTTGTCGGTGAAAAGAGCTGTTTGTTAAATAAGTTGTCTACGAAGTGAGCTTGTCTAGGAATTAGTCGTCTGTGAAACAAGCCTGTCAGTGAATTGATTGTAGAAATGTTATGTCTACAAAGTGAGTGTTGGTGAATTGCAAATGATGCCCAGGTCACACGACGAGGACATCAGTACCAGAGTGATTCAAAAAAACTGGTCAATACTTTGCTCTTTTGTGTTTTTGGCAATTATTAACAAGAGTATATGGTATTCTCCCACCAGCTTTCACGACCTGGTTTGTGAAAGCAAAAAAAAGTTGTACATTCCCTACGTACTATAAATAAAAACTAGAATTATTATTAGGCCATACAAAATAATTTTTTTGGTTTTCATAACTTTAAATTTCAAACAGACCCGACAACTCGGCTTTTTTTTTCAAAATTTATATATAAAATCCTATAAAAATTTTTTTAAAAAAATCCACCCGGTTATTATAACATATAAAAAAAAGTTTCAAAAGTTTGAAAATTTTGACCCTGCCAGGTTATGTAAACCAAGAATTTTTTTTTTGTATGGCTTTAAGTATATGCTGATTATTTTTTTATACAAATTTTTGACTGCAGAATCTTAGCAATCCACTTGATAATTTGGGTTACATTTTTAATTTATTAACCATATAAATAAAGTTACAATAGTTAATACCAGGTAGGATACCTTTTTGCATTAATTACAGCAAGAACATATCAGGATATGTAATCATTTGTTGATAGAAGAATATGTCTACGTATACAACACTTCAATTCATTTCACAGATTTTCTATGGGATAGAGATCCGGGCTGTACGAAAACCAAGAGCGTAGTAGAAGTTGCTGTATGAAATTTGGCATTTTCATCTTAGAACAGATAAACAATTTTGAAGAATTTCTCCATTATCCACTTTCATTTTCCTATATACTCAAATTAATAGTCGT